CTATCGCCTCGTCCACAGGCTCCGCTGCTGCATGGACATCCTCGTATTTCAATGCTATCTCCAACCCGCCGCGTCCAAAAGACAGAACTGTGCTATTGGCTACCGCCTTAGTCAAAGTCCGCGATTGTTGTGGTCATTGGCAAACCGCGCGCTTGCTGTTTGATTCCGGCTCACATGCGTCCTTCGTAACTGAGGCATGTGTACAACGTCTAGGTCTACCACGAAAAGCGTCCGCAGTATCCATTACTGGCATCGGTTAGTCGCAAGGAGGCCGCTCTAGAGGTGAGGTATTACTTTCATTGTCGTCGTATTGTTTAGATGAATGCTTCCCTATCAACGCGTTAATCTTACCCAAGATTACAAGCGACTTGCCCACACAGACTTTGTCAGTTTTAGCGTGGCCGCATGTGCAAGGCTTATTCTTAGCCGATCCGCAGTTCATGAAACCCGGGCGTATCGACATTCTGGTTGGTATGGACGTCATGCAACAGCTCCTTTGCTCAGAAGTCCGTAAGGGTCCACCTGGTACGCCGATGACTCAGCGTACTGTCTTTGGTTGGACGCTATTTGGAAGCGTCGACGGAATAGAACCTGCTGCACCTCGCCTACAGTCGCTGCACTGCGATGTCCAGTTGGATAGAGCTCTTACTAGACTGTGGGAGTTAGAAGAAGCTCCGCAAAAGACCCACCTCACATACGAAGAGCGTCACTGCGAAGAACTCTTCGAAACAACGCACCAAAGAGCACCTGGCGGTCGCTTTGTAGTTGAACTGCCGCTGAATACCGACGTACTTCTAGGCGATTCGCGAAGTTATGCTGTCCAAAGCCTACTACGCATCGAGAGGCGCCTTGCTCGGGACGACGACCTGCGGCTACGCTACAATGAGTTCATGCAGGAACTTCTCGACATGAATCATATGGAGCTCGCACCAGAATCAACGAATCAAATGTTTTACATGCCGCATCACCCTGTTGTAAAGGATTCGAGCGTTACCACTAAGCTGAGGGTCGTTTTCAACGCGTCGGCTAAAACGGCCACCGGAAATTCGCTGAACGACGCATTATTTGTCGGTCCTCAACTGCAGCAGGACTTATTTTCAATTTTAACGCGTTTTAAAACGCATCGCTATGCACATTGCGAAAATGTACCGCCAAATATGCGTAGCACCGAAGCACATTGATCTACAGCGAATTGTATGGCGTCGAGATCCGAGTTTACCCATACAAGACTATCGTATGCTGCGCGTAACTTACGGCGTGGCAGCCGCGTCTCATCTAGCTGTGAGATCGCTACAACAAACCGCAAAATATTCGCACATTTGTGAGAAAGCTTCTGCTGTCATCCACAAAGACTTTTACATGGACGATCTCATCACTGGTACATCGTCCAAAGAAGAGCTGCTACTTTTACAGCAAAATGTCTCCGAAATCCTGAAAGAAGGTGGCTTCGAGCTTCGAAAGTGGGCATCGAATTGTGCGGAACTTTGCGAAAAAATATCAAATGCATCGAAAACAATATCTCACTACTTAGTCGACGGTGAGAATGCCCACGCTTTGGGTCTAGTGTGGAATATAGCAGAGGATTACCTAACGTTCGTGGTTAATTTGAAGAAGCCACCCGCT